CCTCAGTTCTACAAATAAAACATTTTCTCAACTCAACGGCCTATGGGGGCCGCTAGGGGCCGCTGTACTTCCTATCAAAATGGCTGTTATTTGAATGATCGTCGTAGAACAGCTGAACAAGATTCGGTCTGACGAGAATGTAATTCTAATTTCGTGAAATCCGACCGATATGAAAGCCTTACGTCATATTTCCGCGTCACGAATGTGTTACCAAGCTTCCTTATTTTGAGGCCGATCATCCAGAAGCTAGCGAGCGCGATTCTCACACCGCTGTACCACCATCACTGAAAGTTGCGAATACGACGCCCACAGTCCTAAAATAGGGTAGTGAGCTCACTGCCGTCTCTCGCTCATGTTTCGTGGTGAGGCGGTTTATGTCGGTTGTCTCGGAGGCCAGCGGGGGCGCTGCTGTTGACTCCTCCTGTCACCGCCAAATTCAAAAGGAATAGCCGCCATCCATATATCCATTCAGCCGTTCAGAAACGGCCCCTGAAAGGCAAAAAAAAAAAAAAAAAAAAAAAAAAAAAAGTTTTTTCAGACAGCCTGGTTGGAACACGCGTGTCAAAAAATTGATTTTTCGAGAAAAAAAATATTTAGAGCAATATTGACTGCGCGAGACGCGATTTAGTCGGTAGTCACCTCCTTTCCACTTGTTTTCTCTCTCGGCATCACGGGCGCGTGGGGGAGAGGTAGATCGGCTTCGCCTTCACGTTGAGGTGGAAAGAGCGAATGACCATTCCGCGACGTCGTTGACTTTGCGCGCGCACTTTAAAGCAAATTTCGCGCCTTCAATATTTTTCTAAAAAAAAAAAATTATTTTCGGGTAAAACTTATTTCTTGACATCTGTGTCCCAAGCAAACTGTTTAAACAAAAAACAATTTTTTTTTCTTTTCAGGGGTTCATGAAGCATCCTGCATCCTGGCTGCACGCGGCCGCGTGTGTTTGCGTTCGTCTTCGGTTGTTGTTGAGTGAGGGACCGCAATTCGCGTGTGCTCGTCTGCCTACCTTTGCCGCGAGGTTGCTGTGATCACTATCGTCTTGCGATTTTGTTCTTTGAGCCGGATTTAAGAATACCTAATCGCCGGCGAAACTGCAAGGTTCGCACCCGCCTGTAGAACAGGATACGCTCGCCTAAAGGACGCGCCAAGGGTGTCTATGTTCGGTGCCCCCGAAGATGACGAGCGGCGAAAAGTGTAGGATAAAAACCTGCATCGGGCGGACACAACGTTGAATGTGTGCAAATTACATTTTGAACCACAGTACGCAATTAGAGATTACATGCACGTCATCAACGGTAAAGAGGTACATGTTCAGCGTGGGAAGCCAATATGCTTTCGGCCGATGAAGTTTCTACGATTAACCCGAATTTTCCCAGCTCTCAGACGAAGAAGACACCGACGCACCAAAGTGCGGATACTTACGCGATCGCAGAAGCGCGCGGGAATGCTTCAGGAGGAGTCGACCGGAGCCCCATCTCTCAATTTAGACCGCCCTAGCAAGCGGGCGCGGTGATCCCACTACCCCACTCTAATGGCGAATTCCACTGGTCGTTTTGGATCGCGCCGAGATCGACTTTTCTGGAGCGAGCCTATTTCACTGGGCTATCGGGATCGAGACGGACGTGTTCCACTGGTCGTTTCGGATTAGCTCCCGCCCCAGATCTCGATCTGGATCCGGGAAAAGTTGCTCCGACGTTTTCGGCGGATTCAACCGGAAGCCAGCTGGGCCAGCCCTCGCCGCACACACGTGACTTTCTTTCTCGCGGGGCATCTCGCCTGATCTCGCCCATCTCGCCTCAGAAGAATTCGTAATGGCCGATTGCTCACCCCTTGGCTCGACAGCCGGTTCGTTTTCCAGGAAATTTTTGCCGCGCAACGGGCATTCCGGCAATCTTTTCTAGAAGCTCCGGAGCCATTCCTGCCGCTCGTGCGTCGAACAGGTGTTAGCACCGCGATTGCGAAAACGTCTTCGAAACGACCGTGGCGGCCGCGGAAAGGGGATTCCCGGGCAGGTGGATGACGGGAAGGCATCCGCCGATCCCTGAGCAGTGGTCATTTTTAACTGGGGATCCGTAGGTGGCGCGACCCCGTTCGGATCGTGTGCTCCATTCTGGATCTGGTCAACTGATCCCGGCGCGCTCCAAAACGCCCAGTCGAATTCGCCATAAGTCACTGAACTATAACACATATGTCATTCCTCAAATGATAATACTGATCAAAGTGGCCGGACTGAATTTCAGAAAAGGGTATATTTCATGACGACGAAGAAGCTTATTGGTTGTTGGCGTTGCGTTCGAGCATTCTTGGGCCCCGCTAGCGCCAATAAGCTGGTGTAAAGTGAGAAACATTCCTACCTAACATCGTTGCACGGCCGTTTGAAGGTTTAGACAAATATAGCTGATTAAGAATAAATACTGTTTTACCATTGGGATTTTAAATGTCTGTGCATCATGCGAGACCAGAAGCGCAAATTATTGAACGATTCATTGTGTTGTCGGACTAAAACTGCAGACATGCGATTGTTCTGTTAGAGAGAGAGAGAGAAAATCGTTTTATTAAAATAATAATGAAATTCAGAGAGGGTTAGTCTAGCCGATTAGCTGACATTGTTCGCTCCGAGAAAGGAAAAAAAATGTTAAAAGAATAGGTGAAGAGTGCAAAGAAAGAGAAGAATAAAGGGAGAGGTGAGAGGTGTAAAGTTATTCATCACGAAAGCACTTTCGTATGTTCATAACTTTAGAAAATGCTCTGCTTCTTATAGTTGACCTTGTAGCCCAGTGGCTTGAAGGAAGGTGAGGAATATCCTTTGAAGTAATTTCCTCCGAGCTCGGGTACCAAAAGGGAAAATAATGCTTGCAATGTCTTCCACGACGAAGTGATGTCTTTTTAACTGTGATGCGAGGTCTTTCCTTCCCTTTTCAAATTTCTGGCAGTCTTCTAGGATATGGTTAATATCTTCGGTAACACCGCATACGTTACAGGTGTCTGTATCGCGTTTTTTCCAGCGGTGAAGTAATTTTCCTGTACGCGCACTTCCTGTACGTAGGCGGAAGAGAAGTGTGGCTTCTGCTCGTCGAAGACTTCCTGTTAGACAGGGTTGGATAGGGGAGGAGTGCGCTATTGATAAATCACAGATGTGTTCATTTATAATTTGGTAATATTTTCTAGGATCATCTTGCGTCTTGATGCTAATAGGTAGATTGTGTGCGTTGGAGGCAAGTTGGTCTGCCTTTTCGTTTCCATGTAATCCGACATGAGCTGGTACCCACTGAAATGAGATTTCGAAACCATCTCCTTCTAGTGATCTTGAAATTGATTTGGCCGCCATTACTACTTGTGACATTTGTCGAGGCCTTTGGAGCTGTTGAAGTGCAGCACGAGAATCCGTTAGGAGGATAACTTCCTGTGGTGTTAAGTTTTTTATCATGTGAAGCGCTTCTAGGATTGCGTGCATTTCAGCTGTTGTTGATGACACAAACTCATCTAGTCGCCCACTCCATTCGAGCTGTAAAGTAGGCGCATAGTAGGCGGAAGTGCTACTTCTTCGACTTCGATTTACTGATCCGTCCGTGTACACCTCCAGGTGGTTGGCGTATCTTCTCGAAATGTATTCATTAGTTTTTAGTTTTATGACAGTTGAGTTGGCGCTGAACTTGTTGTGTGTACCGGGAATGCGGCACTTACATTTCGGGCAGTAAACGTTCCAGGGGGGAGCTGATAAAGAGTTGTCCTTGTCTTGCAGTAACTCTCTGTCCATCCAAGATGTTGAAGAGTTTGCGTAGAAATAAAAAAGCGAGAGTGTTGCCTGGTTCGAAGTCGGCGTAGGAGGCTCCTTCCTGCCTACGTAGTGGACAAACGAATTTGTTGGGAAAGAAGGCATTTGGTAGCCATAAGTGGTAAAGTCAGAGCTCGGGCTTCTCGATATACATTTTCGTTCCTCGTTGATCTGGGCACTCCTAGGCAAGTACGTAGGCCTTGTCGATGCATGCGCTCTAGAGATTGAGAGTCTGTCGGCGATAATCTAATGAAAGGTAATGAATATAGAATACGACTGACAACAAGGGATGAATGGAGACGTATCATAGAGCTTGGCGAGTTTCCCCATGATTGTCCTGCCACTCTACGTATGGCATTTCTTGCTGTCATCGTTGATTTTATCACGTTAGTGGCTTGCACATGCCAGTTGAGGCGGGAGTTCAGTGTGATTCCCAAGAATTTGTGCTATCGAACACGGCGCAGGGGGACGTTATAAATAGTCAAAGTAATTTTTGTGCTTCGCCGGTTTTTTCCAGGAAAACGTATGAACGCAGTTTTCTCTTGTGAGAACTGCAGACCACAATCAAGTAGATAATTGCTGGCTCCCGTAATGGCTGCTTGGGCGGCGTTTCGAAGACAATGATGTCGATGTGCTGAGACCCATATGCAAATGTCATCTGCGTACAGTGATATATTGATGGGGAGAGTGTACTTTGGGAGGGATGTTGGTAACCTGGCCAAAACGATGTTAAAAAGGATTGGCGAGAGTACGCTTCCTTGTGGTAGTCCTTGAGCACAGTTGCGAGATGTACTAAAAGACGCGCCTAGTCTAACCTTGAAGGTTCGATTCGTGAGGATGCCTTGTACAAACGCCTGGACTTTTCCCGTGATGCCGATGGCTGTCAACTTTTTCAAGAACAACTGCTGGATCAACGTTATCATATGCCTTTTTAATGTCAAAAAATACCGCTAATGTCGATTTGTTGTCGTGGTGATTCTGTTCAATTGAACTTAATAGATCTACGATGCCGTCTTG